TTTTATATCTCTTGACGATTAACGAAAAGTTTTACAAGATTTCCTTTTTGTCACAGACACTGGCTATGGTAATTTTTTTCTTTCCTCCGATTTCTGTGGGATCAAACGACTGGTAAGAAAGAAGGACAGAGCTGTAGTTGATTCCAATCGATCGGTCAATCTTCCCTTTTATGAATATAAGGAAAATCCTTTGTACTTATCCTCGGAAGAGAAAAGATATAAGAGATCTTCAAATGTTTCAGATCGGCGACCTGTCATCGTTCCTGGCTGGAGGGCTGACTTGCATCCGGCGCGGAGATTTGTTTGTTTCATGGTCGGGTTGTAGAGAAGACCAGACTCCATAAAGCATTTTGATGAACAATTCTATTTCAATTAAGTTCAATTTGTTTAAATTCACTGCAGATCCTAGAGGCAAAGGCGCGCATTTTTGTTTGACATTGGACAAAATCACTTTCCGCTTGATCGTACAGTAATTTCACAGTGACAATGAATTCCAGTCGAAGTACTACTCGATAACAGCTTGTCTCAACTCTGAAGCATTTGACATATTTTGTACGTGACAAAGTAGAGCCGGTACGCCCTTTCATAAACTTGTAGCATTTGAATAATACGCAATTAAATGGATCTTAAGCTTTTGAATCGCGCAGACGCGAAAATATTGACATACAGTTCGCGATATTATTATTTTCCATTGTTGCTCCGTTCGACTTCTGTCAGCGCAAAACCAGCGGGTTGCATATAAATTAGCTTCTCAGGAATATTTAGGCTGTCCACGTGACCAGCCGATGCCAGGGCCTTTTCCCGTCCCCTCTGCGTCCCACCCATTTTTTAAGGGAAAGCCCTGGGGACGAGGTTGTGAAATAGTGTAGGGAAAATCACAGATTTCTGTTCTGAAATAGGGTAAGGGTTTCAGAAAGCGTGCCGCACACCCCCTCCCAATTTTTCTGGAAGCCCCCCGGAATTTTCTTTTCGTAATTTAGAACACAAAAGGCAGATCATTGTGCCAGGCGTTCCTTGCGAAGACCGTGGAAACTGAGACTAAGAATCGTTGCGTGATCGAAGCCACGCATGTTTTGCGAAGAAAGCTTAGGAAAGATTAAATTTAGAGTTTTTCCGAAATGTGTCGGTCCACGAATTCTATCGCTTGAAAGTGTTGATTACTTTGGTGCAAGTGAACAGTATTGAGTGGTCGAAAAAAAAATAAGAATCTTAATTAGCAAAATTGCGATGATCGGGTGTTGTAAGCTTTCACCGTATGCAAATAAGTCTTTTGATGAGCATGCGATTTATTTTCGGCTCACAAATCGAGAAAGCACACCTTCAATTTTGTAAACGATACTTGGAGGTAAACAACAAAGCTTCTAATATAGCTTGTAGAGCAGTGCTTAGTCGTTTTCCTTTAAATATCACAATGAATCAAAAAATTCTCAAATACATTTTGTATATACAGTCTAAAGATGATGAATCTCTCGTCAAACAAGCGTTTTTAATGTCATTCGACTTACACTGTAATGGCAAAAATAGCTTCCACTCTCATTTAATGAATATGTCAGAATACTTCAAGCTTCCTGACTTTAACCCTGATTTATTAGACATAGCTATGGTAAAAAGCTATGTAAGTTCAATGAAACAGGAATATATCTCATATTGCCAAAACACCCTTCAACATTCTCAAAAACTTGAATTTTATAGATCTTTTAGAATCGATCATACCTCCTCTAGTTACTTAGACTTAGCAAGAGGAACAGCTGGGAGAAGGGCTTTAGTAAAACTACGAATAAGCAATCACAAACTAATGATAGAAATAGGCAGATACAATCAAACTACGAAGGATAATAGGCATTGTCCTTTTTGTGGATGCAATGTAATAGAAGACGAAGTTCACTTTCTTTTTCAATGTCCTACATACTCTATGATTAGGAATGAATTTTACTATAAAGTCAAGACTCTGATTCCAAATATTACCCAGTTAAGTATAAACGGTTTGGTCAATGAACTGATGAACTCTTCTAAATACTTTATCAATATACAATTCATAAAATATATTTCAGCTTGTTTTGATGTTCGTGACAAATTATTATCAAAGGAACGTAATTGCCCTATGTTCTAATTTTGATTCCTAAACATAGCTTTTGCAATACTGTATGTGTTTGAATGGTCATGCAAATAAAGCTCGTTGTTGATTGAAATGACGTGCCATGTAAATCACTTTTGCGATATCTGGCAATGATGTAATTTCTCTGGAATCGAGGCCCTTGAATTTTCGTGTATTTGTACACGCGTATAGCCTGCTGCCGGAGAGGTATTTTTGGTTGTCGCTAACAGGCGTACTAAATCAATTCAGAAACAAATAAAAAGTACCGCCGTCGATACAGTAGGAAGTAAAAAAACTTTAGCAAGTAAATCATGTTTCTTGTAGAATTAATTGCCTCCTTATTTCTCGATCTAATCTCCAAGCAGGCGAGATGTGCACGCCGCTGTAAGCGCGTTCTTGTTGTAAGAAAAAATATGCAATTAGCGTAAAAAGGCTAATTGCAAAAGGACCAAGTAATTGGTGTCCCAAAGACACAAAACAAAGCAAAAGCTAGTTACAGCAAAGCGAAAAACAATTAGCTAACTAGAAAAAATAAATAGAAAAAAGACAAGAAAAAGGTAAAAAAACTTACCTAAAAGTTAAGCCCCGATGAAGGCAAGACCAAAAAAAGCGGACGCTCGTATCCACTCAGAAGAGAAAACGGATAAGAGGCGAAAACCACTCACCAAGCTTGATCCAGTTGGCCAGACTACCAAGCGAGACGAGAAAACAAGAGACCCCGAACAAAAAAGAGCCGGTATCTATAAGGAAACACATACACCTTGAAAGTCGCAGCAATACTCACCAAACGGACGGGAATCTAAGCCCAAACGGGTAGAATTTGTTATTGCAATTTGCCTGTTATCACGACATCTTTTTGTAGAGATTGTTGTCCGTATTTAATATCAACATTAAATTAACAAAATTGCAACAAAGCAACAAACTAATTGTCAAGTATGCAATAATTCAAGACATGCAGACATTGCTTATGTTTTGTCCAGCAAAAGACGTCTCAGCTTATTTATTTTCTCCAATGGTCAAAGAAAAAATAACTTTTTAAGGTCAGTACAATTACTGATAACGCAGCAGTTTTCATTGTGGCGCACAAGTAAAGATAGGAACAAATAACTTAAATGTAGTCAAGGAGACTAAGAATCCCAAGCAAGTATGACCGAGGATCTGAAATCGGGACTACCGGTGGTCAGNCGCAGCAATACTCACCAAACGGACGGGAATCTAAGCCCAAACGGGTAGAATTTGTTATTGCAATTTGCCTGTTATCACGACATCTTTTTGTAGAGATTGTTGTCCGTATTTAATATCAACATTAAATTAACAAAATTGCAACAAAGCAACAAACTAATTGTCAAGTATGCAATAATTCAAGACATGCAGACATTGCTTATGTTTTGTCCAGCAAAAGACGTCTCAGCTTATTTATTTTCTCCAATGGTCAAAGAAAAAATAACTTTTTAAGGTCAGTACAATTACTGATAACGCAGCAGTTTTCATTGTGGCGCACAAGTAAAGATAGGAACAAATAACTTAAATGTAGTCAAGGAGACTAAGAATCCCAAGCAAGTATGACCGAGGATCTGAAATCGGGACTACCGGTGGTCAGGGCCTCTCGATTACAAGTCCAGGGCTCTAACCGCCTGGCTTCCCTGCCCCCTAACGGAGGATCTGAAGACGAGATTCTGAATTTCCCCAGCTAATTAAACAAGAAACGCTCCAAGCAGTCTCTCTGTTACCCTTCTTTTTTTCTTAGTCTGTCGACTAAAACACGCGAGAGAAACAAAGCCCAGTCTCGAGCGACTGGGGGTGTGCGGAACAGTGCGAAAGGGAGAGGCAGGAGAAAAGCAGCGCAAGTGTTTCACATCACTAAATTAAAAAAATTGCTAAATTAGAGTCGGTCTAGTCATGCAATCTAGTAACACTACGTTTTGGGGGCTTTTACCAAACCAATGCTATGCATGCATATTTTATCTCTTTGTCTGCTAGAAGTAGGGAAACAAAGCAAGTAAACAAAGATCGAATTGATACAGAGAACATTTTGAGTTTGTGCTCGACCCTGTGTTGATGTTGTAATTATGGAACTGTTTTGGGACCGCCTCCCTCCTCGCGCGCCGATTCGTTTTTCGCTCGGAAGCTAGCGCAAAACGAGAGTGACTGGTGACGAGACGCAAGGGATCATAGAATAGCCTACGTACCAAGCGTTTCCACTCGAGTTATTGCGCGAAAACTTGCAGGGAGGGAGAGCAAAAACTTTTTTCTCCTATGGTTTCAGCTTTGGCACATTAGCTCGAGCAGAAGCGTTTGCTACGTAGGCTAACCATAGGAAGGGGAAAGAAGAGAGACGTCTTCACCTTGGCGCGAAAATTTTCATCGAGAGAGAGACATCTGGATTCGAGGCAGGTTTTGAGAGGCTGCACAGAAGTGGAAAAAGGCCTCCCCCATACAGTCCCACAACACAACACTGACCATGATCAGTAGGTCAGGACTCTAGTCTCGGCATTGAATTTAGAAAGACTTTTCTTAGCCTGCGAATACAGCCGTCTCTCCTCGCTCCTAAGACAGCTAAACAGTGGCTTTTTATTCCTCAAAATCTGTTTTGCAAGGCACGCAGCGCCGGCCTGATATTTTCGTGCGAAGCTCGTGGGGCCTCACATGCCCACAGAGCAAAAAAAGCGAACAGGAATACATATGACATTTACTCAATAAAACGTGTATAAACTAGGAAGTTTCAGGTTGTAGTCGTGCAAAAAAATGGCAAAGAAATGTACCAAAAAAGTGTGCTGCAAGTGCAAAGTTGTTTTTTTGCTAATTAGACCTTTCATTTTTTTTTGCCCTTGTCATTGTTGTTGCCGTTTAGTATTACAATATTTCATTTTTTGTTTGAGTAAACTATAAGTATATTGACGAGTGCCTTGCTTCTAGCCCTGGCTAAATCTATATAGTAAAGTAATTGGCAAAGATGATACAAACTTGGCTTAGGTGTCGGTGGGGCGGTCGACACAGACGGCGGCACAGACGACGAGCAGCAGCATTTGTTGCTTGACAAACGACAAACGAATTCATCAGAGCAATCTTTAAGACCCGGTGGGCAGGAATTATTTTTGGAATAGCAGTTGGCCTGCCGTATAGCAGTTGGCTTCGGCGGGTTTTCCCAACAGTGCTCTGTAAAGAATAAATTATTATTAAAATTATTGTAATTATTATTATTATTTTTTTTTTTTTTATCATTATTCAGTATTAGTGTCGGTGACTAGTGGTGGATGTTCAGCCACCTCCACTTCGGTGAATATTGTTATTTATTATTTTCTAGAAGAGGAAGGAAAAACGGGGGATTGTTTCGGTGAATACCACCTGTAAATTCTAATTCCTACTGACGATAAGCTATTTTGGAGATTAGCAGCCCTGGCCGGAGCATGCGTGGCAGGCCTTGAAAAGGGTGGGAGAAGAAGGGGTGAAGAGAGGGGTATGGCCCTTTCACACTTCTTTCCCTCCCCTCCCCGTTTTTGCACCTGCCACGCGGGGCTAGAAAAGCCCTTGAGATGGCTCTCTCATGGGCACGTTACTCCGGTGGCCCGAAACTATTGATTTTTCAGACAGAATTACCAATTTTATTGAAAATTGTCATTTATTGCGGTGATTATAGCGGAGCTCTCGCGCAGCGGAGCACCATGGGTAAGAAAATTCGGTTATCTATGCATCCAAGAAATTTTGGTCCTGAGAAAATCGTTCGCACGTACGTCCACCCCACTTATGTAAGCCGGGGTAAAATTTTGCATTTCAAGCACCCGAGCTTTTCGTGGGTAAATCGCATAGCAATCCGAACTTTTAGAGATAAACAATAACAACAGCAAAGCCGATTCTTTGTTTTTATGTCTACATTAACGTGGATAACAGAGAAAGAGCTAGAGCAGGATATAAAAAAAGGAGGCAAATTTCGTGGAAAGAAAAACATGAAAAATTTATAGCGGCGGTGAAAACGTGAGAAATGCGAGCGGCCACCAAAGTGAAAATGAGCAAGAGCGAAAAAAAAAAGGTGAACAGGTGACAGGTACACATACAACATTTCCTTCATAAAACGAAACTAGGAAGTTTCTGGAAGTTTCACGTTGTAGTCGTGAAAAACAAAGGCAAAGAAATGTACAAAAAATTGTGCTGCACATGCAGAGTTGTTTTATTTTTTTCGTTAATTAGACTCACTGACTTTTTTACCGTTTTCGTTGCCCCGATTTTATATTAANTGCATCCAAGAAATTTTGGTCCTGAGAAAATCGTTCGCACGTACGTCCACCCCACTTATGTAAGCCGGGGTAAAATTTTGCATTTCAAGCACCCGAGCGTTTCGGGGATAAATCGCATAGCAACCCGGACTTTTAGAGATAAACAATAACAACAACAAAGCCGATTCTTTGTTTTTATGTCTACATTAACGTGGAGAACAGAGAAAGAGCTAGAGCAGGATATAAAAAAGGAGGCAAATTTCGTGGAAAGAAAAACATGAAAAATTTATAGCGGCGGTGAAAACGTGAGAAATGCTAGCGGCCACCAAAGTGAAAATGAGCAAGAGCGAAAAAAAAATGGTGAACAGGTGACAGGTACACATACAACATTTCCTTCATAAAACGAAACTAGGAAGTTTATGGAAGTTTCACGTTGTAGTCGTGAAAAACAAAGGCAAAGAAATGTACAAAAAATTGTGCTGCACATGCAGAGTTGTTTTATTTTTTTCGTTAATTAGACTCACTGACTTTTTTACCGTTTTCGTTGCCCCGATTTTATATTAAATGTGACTAAACTATAGATATTAGCCAGAGCTTTGCTGTTAGCCCTCAGGACTAAATCTATATATTTTATTAGTAACTTGTTAAGTTTTGCTGGCGAAAAAAGGCGGGCACCGTACCGCAAATTATGCCCAAAATGGATCGCAAATAATTCCTAATTTTAAGGGGGGTTTTCAGGGGTGGGCCGAGGGGGACGAGGCTATAGCTGGCAAGTGGGCAAGTGTTCCTACCACCCCTTTCTGAATTTTCTGGATCCGCCTATGAATTTCAACCAAAAATGATCCCGTAAAAAGTTTGGATAGTGGATGATGCTGAGTACTTGAGCAACGCATTTATCGAGTGAAATTTATTTCGGCTCCGTATAGTGTATTTAACTCAAAACTACGAAATCAAGTACACGTTCGTACGTCCACCCTTTCATGAAAGCCGGCAAGAAATTTGCATTTCTAGCACCCGCGCGTTTTTGGCGGTAAATCGTATGGCCACCCAGACTTTTCGAGAAAAAACACAACAGCAAAGCCAAGTCTGTCTTCTTCTTTTTGTTTTTTTGACTAAATCTTATTGTCTACACTGAGATGGGTAACAAAGGAAATAGCTAAAGCGAAATATAAAATACAAAGGTGACGAATTTCGTTGAAGGGAAAACAGGAAAATTTTATAGCGTCGGTCAAAAAATGACAAATACTAGCCGCCTCCAAGGTGAAAATGAGTGCCAGTAAAAAAAAACGAACAGGAATACATATGACATTTCCTCAACAAAACGTGTATAAACTAGAAAGTTTCAAGTTGTAATCGAGCAAAACAATGGTAAAGAAATGTCCCAAAAAAGTGTGCTGCAAGTGCAAAGTTGTTTTTTGCTAATTAAACCTTTGATTTTTTCGCCGTTCTCATTGTCGCCGTTTAGTATTACACTATTTTATTTTTTGTTTGAGTAAACTATAAGTATATTGACGAGTACCTCGCTTTTAGCCCTGGCTAAATCTATATACCTTACTTGTATTAAAATTCGCGCAGTACTAGAATTCGGGCAGCGCTGGGTGCGTCAATTTTAGTACTGCGCGAACTATTATCCGCGTGAAAAGCTTTGTCGTGTAATATGAGACACTTATTGTTAGCAATGCACATCAGTTGATTTACATAATTTACCCTAGTAATAGTTGACACTACAGCTGCCCCGTTCTGTATATTGTCAGTCAATAGTATTCTTGCTGGTTGTGTAGCTCTTTGAAATATACCGATTCATGATGAAGATTTTCAGACATATTCCATACAATAGGTGAGATAAATACAGGAAACGCAAGGTTCCATGCACAATTTCAGCTCGATTTACACAGCTTTGATCAAAACATTCTCAGTTTCGAGAATAGTTTATTCTAAACCATGAGAAAAGATTTAATTAGAAGTTGAATTTTTCGCTATTTCTCTTTCCCTTTTTACATTCAGTTCATTTTATTTGCCGGAAAGTAAGCCTTAGAAATAAAAGGACGTTTGATCGATTCACGCTAGCGCATTCTAGTCTTATTTGAAACTTTATAACGGAAGGACATCTGTGAGCAAGGAATAAGTCAGCACGGAATTTGACTGTCGGCGAATTTCTGTAAATGTCCATCAATCTGCTAGTGATGAGCTCGCCGTTGTTCACTCGTCTTGCTTGTTTGGGGCTGAGCCTTATTCCGATCAAAGAGAGAGAAAGAGTGTCTGGCAAGGTTTTCAATATATATCAAAGATTTGTGTACTCGTGTCTGGCAAACTCTCCAAATGTATATATATACACAGTTAAACGCACCTTATAACCTCCCCTGCGCTTAACGACAGTCTTTTCAGGGGCGGATCTAGGGAGAGGGTGCAGGGGGTGCGCACCCCCACCTGAGATGACCTGCGGTTTTCTAATACAACTGGTATTCTGCAAAAAAAAAAAACTATGTGGTTTATTGGTGTTGAAGTAGAGTAAGAGAAGAGTGCACCCCCTCCTGAAAAAAATCCTGGATCCGCCCCTGCTTTTAGTCCATAACTTTCAAAACAACTGCTCCACAGAATGTCACTGCGTAACGCAAAGGAGTATCGAAGTATGACTGCACAATAAATTTCACAAAATCTACCTGAGCGGTCCCTTCATGATTTTCTGTCTTTACGTCATCCTAACCATTTCGTACTTGCGGGCGCAATCAATAGAAACGTCATCATTACCTACCGATTCCTCACGGCTCGAGTTCGAGCAAATCGAGATTTTTTCTAGTATACTGACTGTATATTTGAACTGTAAGTACTGTCCTTAATATACGCGCGAGTTACTAGGGTGCCTCCTCGGGATTTCGCCTCTGGGCGAAATCCCTGCGGGGGCAATAATTTTGAAGGCATTTTCTTAGGGCCACCTAATCGCTTTTTGATTAACTTTTGACAAATATTCTAGTATTTGTTGATAAAAAAACACTCATTATAAATGCGTTAATTGATGATAGCTCTATTAAACAAACCAAAAAGAACGAACGCGGAAAATTACTCGCGCGAATTTAAAACTGCGCGAATAAGTCTTAACAAGGTGCGCGAAATTAAATCGCACGAATTTAAAGCTGAGCGAAAATGGGTACGACGCGAATTTTAATACGAGTAAGGTATTAAAGGAATCGGATAACATAATACAAACTTGGCTTAGTTGTCGGCGGGGCAGTCGACATGGAAGGCGGCACAGACGACGGGCCAGACTTTGGGCAACAGCATTTGTTGCTTGACACCTGACAAACGAAGTTTCTAGAACAATCTTTAAGACCTTTTGGGCAGGGATCTTGTATGTAATAGCAGGCGGCCTCAGGCGAATTTTCCCAACAGTACTCTGTAAAAAAAATATATTATTATCATTATCATAATCATTATCATTATCATAATCATTATCATTATCATTATCATTATCATTTATCATTATCATTATCATTATCATTACCATTATCATTATCACTATCACTATCACTATCACTATCACTTATCATTATCATTATCATTATCATTATCATTTATCATTATCATTATCATTATCATTATTATTATTATTATTATTATTATTATTATTATGCATATGTAAATGTATCACAGTCATTAAAACTGGAAGTTCTCAGACTGAACGCTGGGAATGAGGATGTCTTCCAGTTCGTGTTTTATCATACGTCATAAGACACTCCAACCTGATTATATCTATTGAACTTACTTGTTGCATGGCCAACAGCCAAAAGACTAAGAAGCACAAGAAATAACGGAACCATCATCTAGTCTTTTTTGACGACAAAATGATTTTCAACAACACTGAAAGAAAACGAAGTATGCAACATTATTAAATTGTCAACGAACAAGCGTAGCGAGGTCGCTCTGCTTGCGAAGCGGCAGCATCATAGTGCCGCGCGAAGTATTGCTGGAGTCAGAAAATTTCTCGATCGAAAGCGATCGAGCTGTAAAAGTGTAAATGTAAGGTGCATATTCCCTGGAGACTTTGGTTTAGGCCGATCGCAAGGCCGGAACCAGCGGGGAGGAAGAGAGAAGTCTGGGACCGAGAAACGATGTTCTCACAACTTGCAAAGCGGTCACATTGCGTGGTGGTCAGCGGATAATTGCACTGTATTTTTTACAAAGTAAAATATTTCAGAGGCCAGAAGCGAATCAGTAAGGGAAATAATTCGATGATTGAAAAGATAATATCATGCCTCTTTGTTTTTCTGGCATATCGTCCTTGTCCTTTGGCACTGAAATTGCAAACCGCTAGCGACCGTGTGAATTCTTAACCGACAACAACGCCCGTTGGACCATCTAAGGTATTTTGCCAGGCGAATAGAATATTATATGAGCTATGATGCTGATAAAAATTACTTGAGAAAGTGTCAAATTTATCAGAATTAAGTCTATTCAAGAGAGCTTTATAAATATGTAGAAAATTGCTCGCAGAAAACTGCAATTACTCTACTTCCAGCAAAGCTCTTTGAATATCGAAGTATGAAGGGATTCGAAAAAGATTGCTATCTAGCTGATCTTAGTAACATCCCCTGGGACTCAGCCTACATCTATGATTACATTGATGATATTCATGACCACTGGCATCATCTATTTATTAACGCTGTTGATCAGCACTTGCCATTTAAAAAGAAGTACATCGGAGGCGATCAGCTGCCCTGGATTACTCTTGAGATCTACTTTGCAATTTCAAGGCGTAACATCCTTTTCAGGAAATTTAAGGGAAAATAAATCTGATGGTAATTGAGAACAATTTAAGAAGCAGAGAAACCTCGCTGCCGCCCTAAAACGTCTACGAAATCCTATTTCATTCAGGCTTCTGCTGAATGTGCCCACCCTGGTGAATTCTGGAAAGAAAATTCAAGCCTTTATTACCTTCCAAAGGTACTCAAAAACAACGTATACAACTTTTGGAGGAAGGATGGTTGATTACTGACAACATGGAAATAGCTAACATTTTCAACAAACACTTTATAGATGATGTTGCTGCTCATGTTCCTATTTTGTATGCGCATGCTTGTGCTAATCACCTTAGTGTCAGTCAAATTAGTCAGAGATCTGTACCTTTGAGTTCAAACGAAACCGAGGCAAACCCATAATTGATTGGTTCTTTCCCCGCCGATGGATCAAATCCGTGCATCGATCGGCCGTTGAATCCCAACCGTAGAATTTGCATGCGAAGTTGCCTTTTTGTTTTGTTTTGTTTTCATCCGGCGACCGTAAAAATGCAAATTACAGTAAAACCCCGCGACTAAGAACCTGGATTTTTCCAAGTTAACCTAAACAGGTTCTTATATAAATGGTAGTTGGCACAAGTTTAGGCTATTTACTTTCTTAAATAGGTTCCTATTTTCTGAAGGAAAAAAAAAACAATACAGCTAAGAGTATTTAGAGGTTCAGCTTGTCAATCCTCATATAAAATCTGCACACCAAATAAGACGCTATGTAAAGATGAACATAAAAAGAAGAACTGCATTTAGTTTGTAATTGTATTCAATAACAATTTTACCTAAGTCACGGGGATTTATAGCCTGAATTTCATCCGATTACTTCGAGTCGTTATTACTCCCTCGGTAACGTCTTCGCTGATAGGAGAAAACGACTCGAAAGAATCGGATGAAATTCAGGCTACCTCACGACTGGCTTAACTGAGCAGGGATGTTTTCATTGTTTGTCCTTTCCAAAATCATTTTGTCGAATTTAAACTTGTTCTAGCGGGGCAAAAGGAATGAATAGTGACTAAAAAATGTAAATTGCATGAATAACGCTTTGATATTACTTTCTTTTCAATAAAACAGAATTTGTCCTGAATATCAAAGTCAAAAGCGAGAAAACTGAATTGGAACACTTTACCTCAGAGCTACACGAAGCTACACGGCAACCTTCCCAGGTAGTGTCGTTGTAGTTCACTGATTAGTAATGTTTATCCTGGTTAGCAAGGAGTGGTTAAAGAAAGGAACATACAACACGTTTCAGTGATCGAAGCGGGGCAATTTGAACAATATCTGCAATATTTCCGGATCACGTCCATAATTATAGTTCTGAAAACGCTTGAAGGACGCACATAAATTTTCGCATCTATATCAAACACTCTTTTGATCTGTCATCAACATACAGCCGAGGTACAACAAATGGCTGAACTCACGACATAAAACTTGTGTACCTAAATCGTAAAAGCGTCTAGTTTTCCAAGTTATCATTCAAAGCTAATAGACTCAATTATTCCTGTGAGATTGCCTGCTTGATTAATTTTTTTTGTAAGCGGTCATCAAGTGCTGAAGGGAGAACCATCTTGATTTGAAAAGGTTACAGCAACAATTCCGAAATCGATGCACAGCTAAGCGTTTAAAGTGATATTAACCGACAAGTTTCAGATCTGTGTAGGGTTAGGATTAGGCCGGGGCTAATAGCGACCAAAGTTGGTGAGGTGGAAACATGTTGAATTCAGACTCCTTAAAACAGTGGAAATAATATTGCCAATTAAATACTTCCATTGAAAGTGCACTTGTAAGAGATAACAATTCTGCCTCAAGATGGCAAAAAGATACAAATCTGTCATCATGAGTATAGCTTCCGAGAGCTCCTTATTGTATCGNGGGGGGGGGGGCATGCCCCCGAACCCCCCTAGCAACTCCCGCCTGCCTCGGTTGGCCGTTTGGTCTGGCTACGGCACTGAAAGTGATATTAACCGACAGGTTTCAGATCTGTGTAGGGTTAGGATTAGGCCGGGGCTAATAGCGACCAAAGTTGGTGAGGTGGAAACATGTTGAATTCAGACTCCTTAAAACAGTGGAAATAATATTGCCAATTAAATACTTCCATTGAAAGTGCACTTGTAAGAGATAACAATTCTGCCTCAAGATGGCAAAAAGATACAAATCTGTCATCATGAGTATAGCTTCCGAGAGCTCCTTATTGTATCGGACTCGGTCTGTGTATTTTTAGTTTGTATTTCAGCGTAACAGTGAGAGGAAAACTCATGGTCGCTACTCTTTAAAAGTGTTTCTTCTTTCTTGCAACATGACCTTTTTTCTTCATATGTGCAAACGTTACCTTTTATTGGTCTTTATTGAATAAAACTCTATTAAATATGCTCCAATATCGACTTAATAATATCCTGTATAATATTGGCGATCACTCTGTATTGTCCAAATAGCTTCGTCAGTCTACAAGTAATTTACATACCATAGGTGACGCGTGATTACTTTACACCCTTTCCTCGTAACGTGAGTTTGGCTTGGTCCGTTTGTAGACAGTCACGCTACTCCCAATCAACGGCCTCTTATTCTTAGCCCCAGGTCCCGAGTTGGTGGCGAAAGGGGGGTAGGGCGCGGTGGGTATTCAGAAACAAAATGACAGATTTCCCTACCTTTTTCGGAAAACACCAATTGAATACACAAAAAACACAAAAATGTAAATTAGAGTCCAAAGGGTAAAGTAGTAGTTTTCATTGTGGCGCACAAATAAAGATAGGAACAAATAACTGAAATGTAGGCAACAAGGCTAAGAATCCCAAGCAAGTATGACCGAGGATTTGAAATCGGGACTACCGGTTGTTAAGGCGGGGATTCAACTCAGGGCCTCTGGATTACATTTCCAGGGCTCTAACCGCCTGGCTTCCCTGCATCCTAACGGAGGATATGGAGACGAGATTTCGAGTTTCCCCGGCTAATCAAACAAGAAACGCTCAAAGCAGTCCCTCAGTTACCCTCTTTTTTCTTTTTTTCTTTTTTCTTAGTCCATCAACGAAAACGCGTGAGTTAAAAAAAAAAGCCCAGTCTCGCGCGACTGGAAGTGCGCGGAACAGTGCGAAAGAGAGAGGCTTGAAAAAAGCAGCGCAATCGTTTCACATCAGTAACTTGAAAATTTGCGAAATTAGAGTCCCGATTAGAGACTCCATGTAGTCTAGTAACACGTCGTTTTAGAGGCTTTTACCAAATCATTGCCATGCATGCATATTTTATCTCTGTCTCTGCTAGAAATAAGGAAACAAAACAGGTAAAAAAATCGCATTGATATAGAGAACATTTTGAGTTTGTGCACGGCCCTGGGTGGACGTTGTGATTATGGACTGTTTTGGGACTGCCTCCCTCCCCGGGTGCCGCTTCGTTTTTCGCACCCCCCCCCCCCCCCCCCCCCCCTTTCCCGCCGCAGGGGGGGGGGGGGAAAAGTGTTTCGGGGAAAAAAAAAGCGAAAAAACGCCGGGGGGGGGGGGAGACAAGGCCCCCCTTTCCCCCAGCGCGCCCGGCGCCTTGCCGGTTTTTTTCCTCCCCCCC